CATTAAATTAACATTCAATAGTTGAGATTTAATATATTATAACAATATTATTATAATATTAATTAAACCAAAAATACATATAAGCAGTCAGATATTAATATGCACACATTACTTTTGTAAATTTTTATTAAAATATTTTATAATTTTTATTTTCATCCTATGCTGTCTGATTATAATAATATCATAGTATTTACTTATGTATAGATTAGAGTTGTTTATATATATTAGAGTAAAATACTCTAAATACCCTTCTGATTTGCATCAATTACATAGACTTTTACTCTATTTTAAAAATATATAGTTTAATCTAATTAGTTAACACTGTTATAGATATTCTTAAAAGATTCTAAAAATATTAGTTTTAACTAAAATGTATATTAAAATAAATTTTATTTACTATTTTACTGCTCGTTCTAAAAAATTTCTAAATTATATTTTTACATTTACGTAAATTTCATTCAGTTAAGACAAACATAAAAAATTTGATTAAAAATTTAATTAAATTTTTAATAAATATTTATGTACTTGACTAAATATATTTATAAATTTTTATAATAAAAATGTGTTAAAAGTTTTGAATTTTAAATTTAAATAATTTATAAAATATTTCAAAGTCATGTCATTTAAATTTTATGATAAATAAAAACTATGTATTTGAAATATGTTTTTACAATTTAAAAGAAATCAAAGTAAATAATTTCTAGTGGATGTGATAAAATATTAAAATTATAAAATTTTATGACTTCAATCAAAATTAATAAATTTTGCAACATATTTAAAAAAAATATGCATATTTTGGTTAGAAAAATAATTTAAAGCCAAATTTAACAATCAACTAATGGTTTAGGTAGAAAGAAATGAAATCTTAAATGCATAAGAGAAGTTTGTGTAACATATATTTTAATTATAAGAGAGGTTTATACACGTTTTTAAGATAAAATGGAGGTTTTTGTAATTGAGATAAAATAGAAGAGTGATCAGTATTTTACTCTATATATTTTTATTATATAATATTATAATATCTTTATAATATATCAAATCTCAATCATTAGATATTAATCTAATGGTAGAAATAGTAAACGGAGATATTCTTTTCTGTTTATATTTAACACCAAATTAACAAACTAGCTGTTATATTAAAAGTCAAACGTAATATAAGAGATTCAACTTTTTAATAAGTTCAATTTGTAAATGAAAAAATTTCATTTAAAAAAAAGATTGACTTTTAAATATAAAATATTTTGCCTTATAGACATGCAAACTTGGTCGTAATAAAACAAATTTATTTTTTTTTCCCGACCTTATCTGCGGCTCATGGATAATTTCTCTGAGAAGATTAATCAAAGAGCGTACGGAAGAGGGGCATGAAGATGGGGCGTGAAGGGGGATATGATGAGAAATTAAGAATAAAGAAAACAAAAATATAAAAAGAAGGAGGAGATCCGGTTCGATGCGGACACGTCACATGCTTGGTGCATAAGGAAGGTCAGTGTCATGGGTAATTTGCAGCATTAGTCCCTCTCAATTTTCCTATTTATAAGGGCTTCTTATCTGGACGCACATCACATGTCGCCGTCCTTCCCATTTTAAATGATGCAAAATTGCAAATTAGTGAATTACTCCCCTCTCCACCACTCCCCAAAAAAATACCAATACCAATACCAATAATAATCATAGTCAGTTAACAATAACAACAATATAAGAGTTAGATATCATTTTAATTTTTTAGGTAAAAAAATGATCATTTTAATTTTGATTTCTATAACTTGAAACTGATAATTTTGGCTCATAAAACTTTAAATCGGTATTTTAATTCCTGAAATTTAAATTTTATTTTGTTTGACTTAAGATTTTTTGTCCTTGAAGTAAAGATTAAAATTACTTGTTTTAAAATTGAAGAACCAAAATTATTTGTTTTAATTTTCAAAAATTAAAATTAAAATGAAATTAGATTTTTGAAAGTAAAAGGTCGTATTAATTTATACTAGTAATATAATAATAAAAGCCCCGCTTCTCAATTCTCGTGAACTACTTCTTTTGTTTCTTTCTTTTCCGTTTTTTCCCCCAGCGTGGTGGCGCCTTTCTTTTGCCTTCAACTAATAAAGTGTTTAGATAGAATCAAAGTCATAATTGTAAAAATATTTTATAATGTACAAAAAAAATATGTAAAAAAATTTATTCTGATTTATAAAAAAAAATATTTTTAAAAAGTGCCTTTACACTAATCCAGACACCTCCATTTAGGAGGTGTTTTGATAGCACCAGAAGTGCTTTTAAAAAGCATTTTTTTATAAATTAAAATAAATTTCTCTACATATTTACTTCGTACATCATAAAAACACTTTTAAAATCATGATTTTGTTTCTACTTAAACACTTTTAAGTGGCACCGAGCTTTGAATGTAACGAATTGGGTGATGATAATTAAACAAGAGAACAGCTTTGTTTCCCGTTTTCGCAAGCATCAGATTCTGCACTAATCTAATCATATCCATAAAGAGACGTTATAATAATTATTTGCAGTCTGCAATACAGGTGTAAAATTCCTTGTTTTTTTGGGCCGGCGTATTCGCACAGGTGTAAAATCCCAACATATTTATATTTATAAATCAATGTGTCGTGTTAATCTCGCATGCTTGTTCAGCCAAAATAAGTACATCTACTTACGTAATTTAATTTTTTTTAACAATGTGGAATTGCGATTTTAGTAATAATTAATGATATTTAAAAAGTAAATACCTGATTTGAGATGTTAAAAATTTTAGAGGTACTATTTTTTTAGGATTTTTTTTGTGTGACATTTTAGTCGAATTGTAGGGAGATGCCTTTCTTTCCTTTTCTTCTTTTTTTTTTTTCTTTGTTGGCAAACAAACGAATGTCCGTTGTGCATAACGATCAGCAATTGATATAACGCCCCTTGGACATACAAATTATACACATATATAATGAGGGTGAAGACTTTGATTAAAATTTTAAAATAGATTCATAAACTCAATTAAAATTATAGCTATTTATATAAAATTTGCATACATACATATTTATATACGTGATTTATAAATATATCATGTACACACTCATGTAATTTTTTTTGAGTAAAAGAGAGGTTCAGGTGAGTTGGGTCCTGAAAATTTACTAAGTTCAGAACATATTTTCAGACTCAAAAAACACATATAAAAATATTTAAATCGCCTATCAACAAAGTATTCCCTCATATACTTTTTATAAGAGCTTGAAATTTAAATTACCTTAATTTTTTTATAGGATCTCACTTATGATTGTTTGAATATTTAATGTGTTTTTATCATTTTTACCCCTAATTAATTTTATAGTTTACATTAATTAAAATGTTTACTACATTTCCTTTCTTACTTTCTCTCTCTTACTGGCCCTTTTATAAATAAGGATGTTCTTAGAAAAGAAAGTTCATTTCTTACATATTTATTAGTTTTAACTACTCTAATTATTTTTTAAAACTGTATAATTTATTTATTAGGATTTTATAAAAAAGATGGGAAAAAAAAACTACTCTCTTACAACAGGATTTTTTTTCTTCAAAGAACTAACAGATGGACCTACCGGTTTCAAACTAACCCAAGTCATAGGTCTCTAGGAGACTTTCTGGCCTATTTCCATACTTAAATGCCCACACGCCAATCTGATCATATCCACCCACACCTGGTAACACTTAACGGAGAATAAATATTTTCTTAAAAAATTTCAACGAACCACCAGGAAACAATTATGAACGCTCAGAAGCTGGTTCGTTATTCGTTCGGATGAAATGTGACTAGCGAATTAATATACAATAAATAGTACTCCTCCGGCGGTTCTAATTATAAGACTCAATTGGCTTATTTAAAGAGATTAAGGAAGTAAGTTAAGTTGGTTATTTATAATAAATAAGTGTTGTCATTCCTAAAATATTCTTGCTAATTAAGTATATTGGCTAAAACTATCATTATTAGAAGGATTATCTTGGAAAAAATACATAAATATAAGAGGCAAAATGGATTGGGTCTTATAATTAGGACCAAATAAAAAGTTAAATGGGATCTTGTAATAAAGACCGGAAGAGTACAATTCCAATAAACTGACAAGGCAGTGAAAAAGACCCCTATACAAATAGTATATTCATCCATCATGCCATTTAAATGAACGAGAAAAATAATACTCTACTGATTTTGAGAGTGATGTGATTTTTGAAAACACTGAAAGGGTAACTCGATACTTGTAGTTTTCAGATCTATTGGAAAGCCTCAGAAGCTAAATATGCTGTCTGATGTCTATACCTCACGGACAATTAGAAGAGTTTATGAATTTCTTGTTTTGAAGTCCTGTGAATTATTGGATGTGTTATCATTTTGCTTTTTATTCCACAGCAGCCACTCGCGTGCGCGCGGGCACATGTGATTGGTAACCAACCACAGGATATTTTCCAGTTATTCCGTAGTTTTTCTTTTGCCAACTCCCAGTTATTCCACATCCGTTTTCTGAGATTTGCCGGTTACTCCTCTAGCCTCGTTTATAAAGCAGAGAGAAGATATTTTTGATCCTATTTATAAGATACTGAGAAAATTTTTCTATATAGATGTACAATTTTATCCTTTATTTATATTGTACTGACTTTGTTTACATATGGTATAATGTACATTTAACACGATAAATGAAATTGTTGAATTTTAAATGAGAATTGATAAAATTTAAAAATTTTCTTGATTTATGTAAAACATGTTAGAAATGACTTATAAATAAGACGAGAAGAGTAATATTATTCCAACCAAACTGTAATTTCAAGATAACATTTCCATGATAATAAAAAAACATTGCCGTATTTTCCGTTTTGAAGAAGGACTAATCAGCCATCAACAGAGCCAGGAGTTTTAGAACTCGCCCAACTACCTTGGGCCAGAAAGGTGGGCCTAAAGATTAGCCTCTGAGAACGTGGAATCGATGAAGGAGGACTAGAGGCTTAACGAGGGGCATCCGAATTGTTCGCTTCAATAAAGGGAAGAAATGTGTATGAATCAATCAATCTATGACATCAATAATCATATACACGTAAAAGAGATCATTCGCCCTAGCACGAGCAATGATGTTCGAAAGTAGACAGAGCATTTCGGTCAACAAAAAAAAAAGTAGACAGAGCAAGAAGCCCGAAACATTGTAGTGAAAGCGGAGCAGAGACATGGAAATATTGTATCAGGGGTGGAAAAGGGAATGAAACACCAGATGAAATCAGATAGGGAAAATAAATGGGCATAGATTCCAAAAATGCCAACGGAACGACCCAAGTGTGACCTATGTCATGTGGAAGCCGAGCAAAGTTGTTAATGCCAAAATGAGAGCAGCAGATTGCAGCAACTCGGCGGGTCTAATGCCTTCGGAATGGGAAGCCTGGCCTCCTCCGTTACCCACCGCAGCTGGCGGCGGCGGAGATATCACAGGCACATCGCACGTCCCAAACGTAGCATTTGCCTGCTTGCATAGTCAACAAAAATCATTTTAGAAGCTTATTCGTTCTTTTTCTAAGTAGTTTTTTTTTTCACCTCAACCTTCACATGCAGTTTAAAAATTCATGATTTAGTTATTATAATCGAAAGTAGAAGGGGGTTCCAAATATAGAACCTTGCAATAGGCGATGCGATCGCAGCCGCAAGTGAGATGACCATTGGCCTCATCAACAGCTTCCGGGGCTCCTCCCCCATCACTCCTCTTCAGTTAAGAAACAGGGCGGATCAACACACACACATACACACACACATGCCATCGAGACCAATTAAGAGAGGACGTCTTACCTGGTAAAAATCAACAGCTATGAAATTCGGCCACCGATTGCCGGATGCCTGATGGCAAGTGTTCATCATGTTAAGCAGTGGCGCTGAATTGTTGGCGCAAGCTTCCTCTGCAATCGGGTTCGTCGGAAAATAGTTTACCAGAACCAGTGACTTGGATCTGTTGTCCATCGGCGACGACTCTGCGCGATTCGGACATGATCCGGCTTTCATTCCATCATCCCCATATTGGTTTTCAACGACGTAGTTCCACAGGTAAGCAATGCCCTCGGAGGCTTGTTTGGATGATTTGGAAGTAAAGACAAGGAGACGCTGGTTTTGATCAACCATTTGGTCGACGGTGGGCCAGTCGGCGCCATCCTTGGGCATTCGAGACGGAGGGAATAAGTAGCTGGAGAGGCCGGAAGCGTTGAACACCTTGGTGAGGCCGTTGGAAGATGTGACGTAGTCTTCTATGAAGAGAGTCACAATCTCTGTCGGGTTTGCTTCCAGAAACGATCGTATCTCTCTCAGCACGTTGATGGCCGGTTCCTGCCCAAATGAAATCATGTACATGTATGCCCCAGAATCTACCAATTTATGATCTGATTATGCATCCGTCAATCAACTATACTTACAAATGAGGTGAGGTTGTAACATTGCCCATTGAAGGAGTGACACAGCCATATATCGTTTTCGAAGTCATACATATCCAGCATAAGTCCTCGAACCCCGTTCTGCATATGATTATGCACCCCACCACAAACAAAAAATTAATCCAAGAAAAAAGCTAGTTTGAATTTTAATTTTAACACCAAATTAACTATTAATTACTATTACATCCGTTACTTAATATAAAAGTTAGTTTAAGTTTTAAATTGGTCATAAATACAAAATCTAAATTCACTTTATCTTTTATATTTATTAATTTTTTCAAAATAATTTTTATAATAATTATACACGTTAAAAGATTTTATCAAATAATAATTCTAGTTAACATGCATTATTAGTAAAGTTATTCTAAGAAAGACAATACCTGCTTATTACAAAAAACTAACTAAACTAATTTTTAAATTTTTTCAAATTAGTTAACTAGGTGTTATATTAAGTATGGGAAATAGTATTTTCTACTTCTCAAGCATTATTAATTGATAGCTCAGTATCTATGTCTATATGTATTCCTCATAGTTCGTAAGGGTCTGTTGGGTTGAAGTCTAAAAGAGGAGCGGCCATTTAATTGAGACGAGTTATGATGGCTTATTTAGATCTTTTTCAAAGAAGCCCAAAGTAAGATATCTAAATTTAAGCTATTTGCTGGGCGATTGGTTAAGTATCTTTGGGTTCCTCATCAATTACATATGCTGCTTATGAGTCCATGGTATACTATTTCTATGGAGATTTCCCTCACTCCTAAAGGCTTTTATGAGAAACTCCACTTGAGTCACCGGTAACTGACTGGGAAACTGAGCATTATCTATCAAGGAAGCATATGAATTCGACAGAGAGGGTGCTTATTAACTGGAGAAAACAAATAAATGTGAGATCCCGTCAGCCCTTCGCCGTTCAAGTGGACACTCATGTAGTATTTTATTAGAAACAGACAGACGGAAGTTATCAAATCGTAAAAAAAAAAAAAAGAAGTAAAGACAACGTTATAGCTGTTGACTAAACGAATGGAAATTGCAATTTGCAAATGAATAACAAGAAGAGAGGTTACATTGAGTTGACTGGTGACCGAGTCTTCCTGGTTGGTTGGGGATATAATGGCGGATCCGGTGGCCGACGTAACACCGGAGCGAGCGTACGAGTTGTGCGTGGTCAACCATGAATACTTGTTGAACGCCAGACCTTTCACCTGACAACGTCAACACGAGAATCAAAATCCGCCGTTTAGTTAATTTCCAGATCAAACCGAAACACTCCAAAACAATCATCTGGGACGAGGATCGAGGAGTTAAGCAGCATCAAACCTTGGAGGTGGGGCTCGTGGGCTGGATCCGAGTACATCTGGGTCGGGTGTTCCCATTTGCAGGGCACGCTTCACAACGGAGACCATCGTCACATTGGTTGCCCGACCCGCAGGTTTCTCCTAACTGTTCCCTTCCAATGAAAACACACACATTATTGGAAATGAAATTCTGAAAGTGACCGCCAAAATTTGAACCATCATCAATCATCACAACAACAAAATGAAGACCTCAAGGCAGGACGAAGTGGTGAGGAGGCCAAGGACCACTAAAACCACTTGAATTTGTGAAGTGCCAATCCTACCCAGCAACCTCTGCAAAAGCGAAGGAGTTATTGGTTAAGTTACTTCATGTGCCGCAACAGCAAAACTTATCCCTGCCATGAAATAACAGTAGCTAGGAAGCTCGCCTTCATTTTGGGTTTGACCCTTCAGATAAACAAATTTTATTCCAGGTCGAGAATTGTGAGGGGCCTGTTATATATAAATATATATATATATATATGTATATGTATATAAAGGTTGACAAGAACAGAAGCTAATGGTAAACCGAGGAATTGTTCAATCTTCGGAACCTATATACACGTGTACGTGTGTGTTAGAATTGAAAACGATATTGGTCTCCGCTTCGCCTCTCTCTTTGGTTTTTATATATCATTAGTGTGATCATAAAGTATGAGGGAGACAAGAATAGAGATCATGAGTTTGAGGGCGAAATATTTGAAGAAGTCAGGCTAAATTAGAAGGAAAACGAGCATGTTTATTTAGAAAAAGCGTGTTTGCATTAAAATAATATGGAGAATAGTTCGCACATGCATGACCGGTATGCGCCGTAGTCAGAATATTAGAAAGGAAATGCTTCGTTGTATACAAGATATGTTATTTTTCTCGGGGTAGGTCGAATGTTCTAATTCTTAATAGTCAAAAGACAGAAAAAAAAAGGGAAAATTTCGTTCAAGGACCGCAGTACAGAATTAATTTCAAAGAGCCCCCAAAACTTTCTGAAATTTCACTGCAGGACCAAGGGGGCAAACTGATATTAATTCCACAAAGAAAATGACCCTATTGCCCCTCATGTGAACAAGTATGGGAGAACCCATTTGCAAGTAAGGTTAGATAATTTACAACATGCATAGATATATTTACAATTAAAATTAGTCCATTTACATATTACCTTCTTCACCTGAAGAATGTGTCTGAGTGAACAAGTGTGGGACAGCCCATTTGCAAGTGGGACTAGACAATTTGCAACATACATATATTTATTTACAACTGGAATTAGTCCATTTACATGTCACTTCCTTCACCTGAAAAAGGTCTCCGTGAGTGAACAAGTGTGGGAGCGCCCATTTGCAAGTGAGATTAGTCAATTTGCAACATACATACATTTATTTACAATTAGAATTAGTCCATTTACATATCACCTCATTCACCTGAAAAAGGTGCCTGTGAGTGAATAAGTGTGAGAGAGCCCATTTGCAAGTGGGACTAGTCAATTTGCAACGTACATACCTTTATTTACAACTGAAATTAGTCCATTTACATGTCACCCTGCAATAAGTATTATGAGGGGCAATAGCGTCATTTTCTTTGTGGAATTAATATCAGTTTGCCCCCTTGGTCCTGCAGTGAAGTTTCAGAAAGTTTTGGGGGCTCTTTGAAATTAATTGTCTTCTGTGGTCCTACAGTGAAATTTTCCCAAAAAAAAACCCAAAAAAGAAAAGGGCAGAAGTTTTCCCCTCTCGATTTCTAGAACTCTGCACCAGTTTCAATTTCGATGATGACCTCGATTAGGTGAAAACCTATACCCGGTCATGCCTGAAGAATGCTCTTCTTCGTAGCCATTTTCTTTATCAAGGTTGTGCTTGCACGATTTATTTAAACTTACGTACTGTTACTCCCCCATTTGTACCCATGATTTTAAATCCCGTTGATCATGACAGCGTTTTTTGCTATTAAGATGGTAAATTTCAGAGAAAATTATGGCTATACATACACTCAAAACTCTGGAAAGAGTTTTAGATAGTCTGATGCGCATATTTAATGGGATCGAGAATACTTTTTAAATGAAAGGAAGCAAAGGAAGAAACGAAACAAGAAAACTTTTGTCCCCCCTGTGATTATGCAGCAAAATAAAAACTAGGAAAAGTGAAACTCTTTTCCTCCTCCGTATTTAAGTAAACTCGTCATTTATGAATTAAAATACTATTTACTATTTTACATTGCTGAGAATAATCTGATTCAAAATAGTCAACAGCAAACCAAATACTCCAGTTATTATTTATATGAAAACCTGATCGTTCAAAATATTATAATAATAGATAATATCATATATTTTAACCAGTAAAATAGAAAATAATTATTAATTTTGCTACTGTAATATCTAATAGCTAATATCTATAAAATAGATAGTAAGACATTTATACGAGTTATAGTATTCACAGATTCTAAATAATGTGAATTATTTGTTATAGTTGATATAATTCACGAGAAGGTTTTTTTTTTTTTTGGCTAGAATATAGATATCCTCTTATCAGAAATAACCTTATTTGAGATATTATCGAGTACTAAATATGTGCACATCTCCCAGCGGGTAGTTGATGAATGCATGGTTTTTTCCCCCCTGCTACTTTGGGCCTTTTCTACGAACAAATGTACACTCTTGGGTTAGGGCTTGGCTGAGGTTGTCCAGGATTATAAGCCCAAGAACCCAACTATCTGGGCCTAAAGAAAGAGTTCGTAGGCCCAGAAGAGTTGTTGGGTTAAGCCTAAACTGAAGGGGCTCAGGATGGTGTCCTTCCTTGGGCGTCTGAAGTCTGGAGTGCCGCACCACCCAACTTCATTTTCTCCCCTAATCACAGACAGCCCCTTCCTGATATTGAAAACACACACAATCTTAATATTATACAGTCGCGTTTGTCTATGTTGAATAGTAGTATTTCAATTACCTATGACGTGTTAAATTTATACTGAAACAAAATGAAGTCTGAATCGGAAATTTAGATAGACAAATTAATGGTTATGAAATTTTTTGTTGCTGATGCATGTTCTCGGGGGAGCTCTAAATTTCCAGAGCTTCCCCAAATTCCCAGTGGAACAACATTCTGGGTTCAACCCTGGGATGCCAAGATCTTTAAGGAATCACAAATCAACGAATCACGGGAACTCCAGGGAGAGAATATACCAGAATCGTTTATTTCCAATGTGCTCCACGAAGCTCTCTCCTGTTTCGTCACGTACATGGCATTTAAAGACTAACCAACTCAATTGATTCCCAATTCGGGAATTTTCAAAAAGTGTGAGGGTCTTCCCAACCACGTCCAACTTCGATGGTTTGACGCATCCATAAACGACACAAGAAAGCGCACGCATCTAGATTGACCTTGATTTCAACCTCTCGTTCACATAAGCATGCGTTCAGACCTCAATCATCATGTCGTTGTTATTTTTTTGAAACCGTATCAGACTCCTCCAAAAAACAAGAAATTTACTCTTTCAAAAAGGGTGGCTGGCCAGGTTGGGGAAAATAAAAAGTAAAAGCGAGGCGAAATACGACTAGAATAACAACTTATAATAAGCGGTCTGGTAAAAATTTCTGTACAGAGGGTCACAAGCAATGGAGGTAAAAATTAGCACCATTACTTAATGTATTCAGTATTTACAGCTAGATATTAACATTTAAGAATTGTATGAAAAAATCCGCTCCCCGTTCTACCACTCAACCTCTGCTACTGGCTACAAAAAAATTCTAATTCCTATCTAACACAAATCCAATTGTCAGATGCCGACCAATTTGGCGTCTGATTCGTCATCAGCTCCCGGAGCCTATCCTCCGGCGAACACGTACTGCATAGGCGCGACGATTCAAATTTCCATTCACACCGGTCATCAGATTCCGGTGAATTCAGAGCAGAAGTTGTTGTATTGGAAACCCAGTCTGGGAAATCGAAGTGACTTCTCGGCGACGTCCACGGTTCTTTGACATGCTCTAACGAAACAGTTTCGTCGGCTACGAAGGGATGCTCCGAGAGCTTCTCCGCCGTCCATCTTTTTCTAGGATCCTTCACCAGACACCTTCTAAGGAAATCCTTCCCATCGTCTGATAAATCATTGGGAATTTCAGGTAATTCTTCTCCCCCTCCAATCCGCATCAACAGCGAGAAAATATTGGATCCGTCCTTGAAATCCCAGGCGGGTTTTCCGGTGACCATCTCCACCACGGCACATCCGAGAGCCCATATATCGGCTGGAGATTCATACTCATTGTCATTTACTGATTCCGGGGACATACACGCAGGAGTTCCCCTGAGCTCATACTTGGTTTCCTCGCTTCTCTGTTCTGGCCCTGACTTCTTGGCGAGTCCAAAGTCCGCAATCTTGACGTCGCCATTGGCAAAGAGAAGAATGTTGGGAAGCTTTATATCACAGTGGACGAAGCCGCTGGCGTGAATATGTCTGAGTCCTCGAACGATGGACCTGGTGTATCGGCGGACATCGGATTCCGGCAACCGACCGCCGCAAATTTTGAGCTGATCAGCAAGACTGCCGCCGGCGGCGTATTCCAGGAACAGATTATAATACTGAACACCGTTTTCGAAGGTAGAATCATGGCCGAAGCACCTGACGATTTGGGGGCAGGGTCCAAGGCGATGAAATACGTCCTGTTCGTTCCGGAGGGAAGAAGAAGCGAAGACATCAGCGGACTTGACGGCCGCAGGGGATGAAAATTGAGCAGAAATAACTCTAGGAATGGCCAGGTGAACGGAAGCAAAGGTTCCAGTACCAAGAGACGCTCCTCGATCCCACTCCATGGAATTTGCGGGAGACGAGTTATTTTGGCTTTGTGAGGAAGAAACAGGAGAATGAAACTAATAAGGTAGCTGAGAATTTAGCAGAGTCAGAGACGGAGATGTATATATAGTGGGGGAGGGGGAATGAAAGAAGTAGGGCTAAAGGAAAGGCATAATTAAAGCACGTGATAGGCGAGGGAATGGGATGTTTGAGTTTCCTAATCTGGCTGAATTAGCGTATCCTCTCGCGCGACTCGCGCGCGAATTCTCCCTAGCCGACTCACTGTTCACTACCATTCAATATTGGGGCAGCTCCTAAACTCATTCGGACTTGGTATCGTGTTTACTTTGACGATTTATTAGTTGATTCAATTTGGCCACTTGACCCCTTTGAATCTTATCTGTTTTCAATTCAACCCTTTTCAGTTTGGCTTCGACTTTTAATCTTTTATACCTCCCATTACTGTAGCCTGTAGGGCTCCTCCACAGCTCATCGCATAATTTACCCCGCATGCCGCGCTCTGTTACTGGTCTGCTTCCTATTGGTCCCCTTCAGCGCAAATTTATCTTCTCTTGCCTAACTAATTTGGATTCATTTTGAATTGCTCTAACTTTGGCGTCCACTAATTAATTCAGCATGCCTTTTCTACAGTTTCACCCTTAATCACGTCCAGGGGATCAGCTTGTTGATTACTGGTGGGATTCAATCACTAAATTATCTTGCTCAAGAACTAAGCTTTTGTCGGCGGATTAGTGTCCTGGTCGCGTCCCACAAAGAAACTAGTATTGAAAACCAATGGACGATGGTGCAGAATAGATGCACAAATTAAAACGGTGCTCATCATGGGTCTACATATAAATAATCGTTTGGATTTAGAAATAAAATCACGTGATAAATAAGTTGATCCTGATACTGAGTTTCTTATTAATTAATTAGTGATCAGCTCAGATCTGATGGGTAGGAGGCGTCAAGAAAACAAAAACGAAAAGTAATGTGAGACGGGCACCTAGCCCCATTAATTGAATAGTTTTTTTTTTAAATAAATAATCTCTAATAATGCCCTGATTTACATCTTTTATATTCCACGTAATGGATCTTTGACCCCGTTTTCTCACCCAAGATTTAAAAAATATTCCCATGATTAACTTCAAGCTCCGCGTTTTAAATTTCTAATCGTTTTCATATATACGCTTGTCCCGTCGAATTATCGTGTAGCACTCGCAACGCGTGCATTTATGTTTTTTATTTTGGCCAAAACACGTGCATTTAAGTTGGATGTATTGATGCATAAATATTGTCAGTATCTTGCGGTACCTCCTGCATATTTGCCAAAATAAAAAGGGAAGGTCCTTATACGAGTCTATTTCCCGCTTTTATTTGTATCTTTTATCCCATGTGTTGTTAATTTTGTATGGATTCTTAAGTTAAATAACGTTATTGACTTTTGAACAGTGCAACTTCTATAAATTTTATGTTTTTCGTAATTTTTTATAATCTAGGTTTTACATATGCAGAATAACACTTGTGAATTGTCTTGTACTCGACCCGAAAATGTGACCCAATATTTAATTATGGGTGTGATAATAAAGATATCTTAACTGAATCATGGAGAAGACTGTTGTGCGGAACCTTCCCTACCTTCCAAAGTTTAAAATTAAATAGCAAAGCATTCAAATCTTGATGATCTAAATAATGATTGTTAATTTGTTAACGAATCTTTCCATGCATCTCAAACAGATAGTAATATTTGGCATCTAACATGGCCTCAAGGATAATCCAAGAATGTCATCCTATTTCGGAGGAGAAAAAACCTACTTCAACCTGCAAGGCTAGATTAGTCAATAATCACACATTAATTTTACAACGGGATAAAATTACAAAAATGCCCTTATTTTGTCAATAGCCAAGAGTCAGCATAGTCTGGGTGACATAACAGACTCGGTCAATAGCCACCGTTTAGAATTTTAGGGAGGCTAATATGAAATTATGAAATCTCTATATGTATAAACTACAGTTAAAATTGAGGGGGTTGTGTATATTTGTGCAGCTTCTTTTTTTGGGGGGGGGGGGGGAGCTCTAATTGATGAAGAAGAACATTGAAAAGAGAAAGGCGAGAAAGAGGAAGCATGTGAGGGTGGGGCGGGGGAGGGAAAAGCAAAAGAATGGAGGCATGGGCCACAAAATTTGGAAGAAATCAAAGAGTAAAGCATGTGAGGGCAGCAATGAGCACCGGCGGATTTGAAGCGAATGCCCTCTCAAGTGGCCTCCAATTATATAGTCCTCTCATCAAAACAAGATCCCCCCACATGCATCCTACAATAAAACAATTAATGACCAAAAAACATTGATTTTTTTCCTGATATAATATTGTTTTGTAATTGAAATATACAAACGTAAGTTATTATTTTAATGCTAAAGGAGAAAAGGTATTTATTCTTACTTAGTCTCACACCCTTCGGCCTTTTCTTTTCTTTTTAAACCTTTCCAACAAATTGATATCTCCCTATTATAGTTATAGAACATACAAACCGAATCGCACACACGCTTTTCTTTCTTTTATATTTGTTTTTCTGCATAAAATACTCAGAATTAATAGTCTACGTATGTGAGAGCAATCACCGACCAGCTCCCACTAAAGATTTTGAAGATTTTCGAGAAATGACCGCCTCAAAGCAACCGCCTTAAATAATTAATCGACAATGTTAGAAGACTATATATATTTTATTTGTTATGTTTATAAGTCACTTTTAATATGTTTTACACAGACCAAAATTTTTTTTATACTTTATTAATTCTCATTTAAAATTTAAGAACTTTTTAATTTTATTCCTATTTAATATATACTATAATTTATATAAACAAAGTCAACATAATAATAAATAAAGAATAAAACCGTATATTTATGCAAAAAAAAAAAATTCAGTATCCTATAAATATGATAAAAAATATCTTCTCTTTCTGTTTTATAAATAAAACAGAAGAGTATATATTATCGCAATTCATGGGATAAAAATCGCTGGGCAAGCGATTGGTCTGAACGAAAGCTGTGCTCGTTTGCATCTTCTTGTATCCCGTGAATTTTGCAATAAAATATATGATCACTAGCTGACAACTAAAAGCAACTCACTGAAATCTATTGCGAATCTATCATCATCATTAATTGGTTCGGAGTAAATCTAGATTATGCTGATTCCTTCGAATATTTATGATGCGAACATGCCATTCCTGATTAAGCCGGAGCGGCTGTGATTCACGTATCTTCACGGTCGCAATTAAAGGCACACAAACACGCTGTGCTCTTCATCATCCCCAACAGCCTACAAAGTGGAGAATCACAATTACAAAATAATAATAATTAAATTTATGTGAAATTCTACAATTTATTTTTTATTTTTTTAAAAACTGCCCTTAATTAAATAGCTTATCTATCTCCCGATAATAAACTATATTCCTTCTTCTTCTTCTTTTTTTGACGAAATATGCTTTTATGAGAAGTCGTTTTAAAAGGAATATTTTTGGCCTTTTTTATAAGATAATTTAATAGTTTTAATGGGTATTAAATATTTTTTCTTCACATATACCCATATTTAATAAGAATGGTGAAATAAGAGAAATTAATATGGAGTTTAGTCTGATTAATAAGGATAATATGGAGAATAATTTCATGACAATTTAAGTACTTTTAATTATATTTATTGATGTAGGTGGATTAATCAGAAACATGTGTATGCGGTGGATAAAAGGAGTAGAATCAGGGTAATATGCAGTTGGAAAAAGAAAAAAAGAATCAGAGTAATATGGTCCTGGTAAACACGGAGTCATGGGTAAAGTGGGAAAGGTAAGCGTGAGGAGCAATGAGCGGGATTTGGCTTAGATAAATTGGCGGGCATGCGGTGTGTTGAAGTGAGTGAGAATTGCGGCGCCGCCCAGGACAGCGGGGATGAGTGCAGTCAAGAGTCATTGGTTGACAAGTTACGGCAATTCAGAGGCCCACTTGCTATGTTAACTGTAATTCAACCGCCACAATTCAGGGATCGCTGCTCACTCTCCCCAACACTCTACCCCCATTCCATTATTATTGTTGTGTTTTTAAAAACACAATGTGCCCTGTATCCACGCTGGCGAAAGCAAAAGGAAAGGAATATGCCTAGTATATCTTATTGCCTCTGAATTCACCGTAATACGCTAACTGTCCATTCATACTTGCATTTCAAATTGAAACAGGCAACATCTTTTATGCTTAAAATTGAATAATTAAATTAAAATAGGATTGGGGAGGCAACAAGAAAAGTAGCTGGGTTGAGGAGGGAGGGGCAGAGCCATGTGAATCATAAGGAGTATAAGCAATACAAAGATGAAACACGATTTGTGTTAAAGAGTGTAATTGGGCGACGCCAAAAGAGGAGCTGTGAATTCTGGTGCCACCCTCCCTTCACCCAAACACTGTAACTACCTAATCTACCCAGTCCCCCAACAAGTACTTGCATGCATGCGGTCTCAGCCTGCCCCCTACCTACACCCCCTTTCGCTCTTTCATTTCTCATCATTCTGACCCCACCAAGTTGGTGGCCCCAATTTCGAGAACCCCAAATCCACCCCCCCGGCCTCACGTGCGTCCCAACTACTCCTCCCCCGATTCCTAATTTCGGCACTTGTGATTTGTATGTCTTGGTGGGATGTTCCTCCCTTCCAGGTAAAAGTAGAATTTTAGAACGCCCGAGTGATGGCGAAGCCAACGTGATGAGGCTCATTTGGGGAAAATGCAAAGTAAGGGAGAAGCAGGAAAAAAGGAAGCGTCAACGTTTGGCTGCAGCTGCGAGTCAATTTGAGAAGCCACAAACACGACAAACTTTGCGGGGCCCGGGGTGGGGGAATTTTGTCCCTTTCCCAACGGCGATATCGTGTGACACGTGAGAGAGCGAGTGGTCCGATACAGGGAATCGCTTCCGGGCCCGCCTCATGGTCCGGCCCCGGGGCCACCTCGCAGGGCTTGGCCGGGCCCATGACTCGATTCTGACCCTCCGGCCTCCGCCATCGCGTCTCCACTTAATTTGCTTTGCCTCATGCGTCACGCACTAGCTGTCCACGCCCCTGATTTTTATTTGTTTATTGGAAACTATGAATGATGGCATTTAGTTGCAGATCATCAAGTTGGTGGGTTGAGCAGCGCAGCCCAATTCCTATGTTGTGATTGGTGGAAAGTGTGGCGTTTGGGGAAGTTGGGGGGGGGGGGAGTACGTACCCAACTAGACACGGTCAGAATCACTGTTTGACCATTTTCATAACAGGGAAGGTGCATTGAAGATTCGCATTTCATACCATAATTAAGCAGAGTCCAGGTTCATGGTTCGTTCACCGCGTTCTGGGGCTTCC